ATACAAAAAATTAGCCAGATGTGGTGGTGAACGCCTGTAGTCCTAGTCACTCGGGAAGCTAAGGCAGGGGAATTGCTTGAACCCGGGAGGTGGAGGCTACAGTGAGCCAAGATCGAGCCACTGCACTCCAGCCTGGAGACAGAGTAAGACTCCGTCTCAAAACAAAAACAAAAACAAAACAAACAAACAAAAAAAACCCGTATTTATCCTCTAACTTCATCTGCCCATTCTCCACACTCCCAGCCTCTGTAACCACCCTCTTTGCTTCTATGTGTTCAATTGTTTTAGATTCCACATATAAGTGAAAACGTGGTATTTGTCTTTCTATGTCTGGCTTATTTCATTTAGCATAATGTTCTCCAGTTCCATTCATATTGTCACAAATAACAGGATTTCTTCTTTTGAATGACTGAATAGTATTCCACTGTATATATACACCAGATTTTCTTTGTTCACCTGTTGATGGACACTTAAGATAATTTCTTTCTTTCTGTTTTGTTTGTTTGTTTGTTTGTTTTTTTGAGACAGCATCTTGCTCTGTCACCCACAGTGGAGTGTAGTGGTGCGATCCTGGCTTACTGCAACCTCCGCCTCCTGGGTTCAAGTCATTCTCATGCCTCAGCTTCCCTCGTAGGGAAAGGTGTACGCCACCACACCCAGCTAATTTTTTTGTACTTTAGTAGAGATGGGGTTTCAATGTTGCTCAGCCTGGTCTTGAACCCCTGAGCTCAGGCAGTCTGCCCGCCCCAGCCTCCCAGAGTGCTAGGATTACAGGTGTGAGCCACTGAGTCCAGCCAGGGTGATTTCATAACTTAACTATTGTGAATAGTGCTGCAATGAACATGTAGGTGCAGACATCACTTCAACAAACTGATATCAAATCTTTTGGGTAAATACGCAGAAGGGATTGCTAGATCAAGTAATTGATTGTTTAAGCAAAAATAAGAAGAATTTGCTGTGGGGTTTATATAAAAGTAAATGCATGACAATAGCCTAAATACTGGAAAGGAAGAAATGGAAATATACTATTGTAAGTTTTGTTGTGTTTTGAAACGGGGTCTCACCTGTTGCCCAGGCTGGACTGCAGTGGCACAATCACAGCTCACTGCAGCTTTGACTTCCCAGTCTCAAGCAATCTTCCCTCCTCAGCCCCACAAGTAGCTGGGACTACTGGTGTGCACCACCATGGCCAGCTAATTTTTGTATTTTTTGTAGAGACTGTGTTTTGCCACATTGCCCAGGCTGGTCTTGAACTTCTGGGATCAAGCGATCCTCCTGCTTTGGCCTCCCAAAGCACTGGGATTACAGGCATGTATTAGTCTTTTCTCACACTGCTGTCAAGATCTATCTCAGACTGCGTAATTTATAAAGAAAAGAGGTGTAATTGACTCACCCTTCCACAGGCTGTGCCAGAAGCATGGCTAAGGAGGCCTCAGGAAACTTACAATCATGGCGGAAGAGCAAATGGGAAGCAAGCATGTCTTCACATGGCAGCAGCATAGAGAGCAAAGGGGGAAATGCTACATGCTTTCAAACAACCAGATCTTGTGAGGACTCACTATCATGAGAATAGCAAGGGAGAAATCTGCCCCCATGATCCAATCACCTCCCACCAGGTCCCTCCCTCAACATTGGGGATTACCATTCAACATGAGATTTGGGTAGGGACACAGAGCCAAACTATGTCAAGGCATGAGCCACTGAGCCCTGCCTCCTGTAAGTTTTTTATACTATACATGAGGTGCTTTGATAGCACTTAAAGGTAGACTTTGATAAGTTAAAGATGTATGCTATAAAACAACCACTGAAATACAAATCCAAAGTTTTAGCTAAAAAGCCAACAAAGGAATGGAATCCTAAGAAATAATTAATGCCAGAAAAGCTGGCTGGGCGTGGTGGCTGATGCCTGTAATCCCAGCACTTTGGGAGGTTAAGGCAGGCAGATCACTTGAGCTCAGGAGTTTGAGACCAGCCTGGGCAACATGGCGAAACCTTGTCTGTAATAAAAATACAAAAATTAGCCTGGCATGGTGGTGTGTGCCTGTGGTCTCAGCTACTCAGGAGGCTGAGGTGGGAGACTCACTTGAACCTGAAAGGTTGAGGCTACAGTGAACCAGGATTGTGCCACTGAACTCCAGCCTGGGTGACAGAGAAAAATCTTGTCTCAAGGAAAAAGAAAGAAAGAAAGCCGAGAAAGGCAGAAAAAAGTAAAAATGGAACAAATAAGAGATGGGACAAATACAGCACAAATTGTAATATGTTAGACTTTAACATAACCATATCAATAATCACATTAAATTTAAATGTCTAAACATTCCCGATTAAAGGCCAAGATTATTAAATTGTATTTTAAAAGTGACCAAGCT